TGTCTTTCTTATGTCCTTCTAGTAGGCACTTAATAGATATTTATTGACTGTCTCTGTGTTTTTATTTCTTTCTCGGTCTCTCTGCCTGTCTTTCAGAACTTTAACCCCATTGCCCCAATGAATCTAAGGCTTGTTCTATCACTATTTAATAAGTGACTTACTTTCCTCCAGACCTATCCTGCCCCCCCAACCCCACCCCATTTCCTGTTTAGAGAAAGGATCTTAGTTTAAAAATTTTGGTTGAAAATTTCTACTCCATAATCCTCTAGGTCTGGTCTGGTCCTTTCCCCCAGACATTCAGGGTTTTGCCTCCTTCATTAGGACGGACAGCCATCCTATATTCAGGATCAACATTATGAATATTCATTATTGTATATTGATAGCTTGCATTAGGACAGACAGCTAGTTAACCAGGGAGTATCAAAATATACAGGGGCCGCAACGCTAAGCATTAGACAGCTGGGAAACGATAAAGATTGTCCATATGGAAGCAAAAGAGGGAGATGAGTAATCAGTGAAAATGGCTAAATAGAGTCATTACTTAAGTACACTGAGGAGACCCTGACTAGCTGGAGGTTGGGAGCATGGGTTATTTAAGGAAACATTCCAGGAGAAGGTGGCCTTGAGGAAGAGGTGGGACTAGCAGGGCTAGCTGGACTAATGGCTCCAGAGTGTGCCCCCATGTTCCCTCTGGAAGTGCTGTCCCCATGGCAACTACCAGCCCCTGGCCTTTCCTCATGTCCTTTGGTGGCTCTTACCACCAAGCAGCTAAACCACTGCCCCTAGGCCACCTCGGTCCACAACCTGGGCATGCCTTTCAGGGGCTGTCCTCCCCTTCAAGCTCCAACAGGGCCAAAAATTAGATTGCCTCCTCCTGCTGGGTTTACTGTACCACTGTCAAACTACCCCTGCTACCTCTTCCCCCAGGGACTGTGCTCCTCACTGCTAGGCTCTTTTCTCCTTGTTTTTGTCCAGACCTGAGACATCACAGGTGCTAGGAACTCCCAGTGAGGAAACACCTCCACCAATGCAAACCAGCAGCTGGTCTCTAGTGTTAGAGAGTTGCTTAGGGCATTGAGAGGGTGAATGACTCATTCAGGGTCACACAGTCTGTATCAGAGGTGAGAGAGACTTGAACCCAGGATTTTTCTCACTTGGGAGGGCTGGTTCTCTGTTCACTCTGCTATGCTGCCTGTCTCCTTTCTTTTATTCTCCTGTTTCTCTATTAAAGTCCTCCTCTGATGTCTCATGGTGTTGTAGAGAACCTCAGAGTCAGGAGGACTTAGCTGAGGAGGAGTCCTTTGACAAAATAACTGACAATATGGGACATCCAGCCTTTGCTGGAAGACCGTTAATTAGGCAGCCTTTCTGTCCTTGAGGTAGCTCTAATTGCTAAGGTTTTCTTCAACCTCAGGCCTAAATCTGTTTCCCTGGCTTACAGCCATTGTTGCTGGTTCTGCCCTCCAAGGCCCAGAAGACCAAGTTTGATCCCTCTTTGTCAAGACATCTCTTTAAACACTTTGACCCAATTTTCCCAGGAAAGGTTCTTGTCTCTTGCTAAGGCTGGTCCTGAGTAGGGGGTACTTCTTTTTTCCTTGCTGCTGGCCAGGTTCTCAGGAGTTAAACTCTTCAAGAGGCCTCAGCATTTAGCCTGTGTCCTCCATGGACCTGTTCTCCCATCTGGAGGAGGTCAGGAGCCAGAGAAAAAAGATCTAGAAAAGGGCACCCAGTTAAAGGAAAAGGAGCTTAAAAAGGGAAGGGATTCTGGCAGGCCTAGCCCAGCCTACCTCAGACATGACCAGCAGCTAAATGGTTACAGACGTGCTGATAAAATGCCCCAAATTCCTAGTCTAGCCTCCGGTGGGGAGGGTGTCTGGCAAATGTCAACAATAAAAAATGCATTTTAATGGCACATAATGCAGCCGCTACCGTAGGGCGGGCCCTGCGAGGCCAGATGAAGCAGGTTTGGGGAGTGGTAACTACTGAAGGACACTCCTTGGGGCTTGGGTACTCTCTACTTGGTGCCCTGCTGAGCTGGGACCCAGAGGACTCAATTCCTCCTCCCCCAAGTCCCAGGGGAGCTGGAGCTGGGAACAAGAGGTGAGGCCTGGGGCATCCTTCTTGTTCCATTGAGTTGAGACACTGGAGACCAGCTGATGTGATAGGGTCAGTAAGTGACCCTGGAGTCTGGTTCATCTGTCTCCTTCTACTTTGAGCTGAGTTAATTCTGCCCTGTGCCCTGAAATGGCAGCTATTATTTTATGGGGTTGGAGTTATCTTCAAAAAACCCTGAGGGTTTGGAGGGAACAAGACTTTTTGGCTTAGAGAGTTCTCTTTCTTTTCTGTAAAGAGTGAGTGGCACTTAGGGTTATAGACTTAAAGCTGAAAGGGACTTTAGGGATCACTACCAGGGGTGGGGAGCATGTGGCCTCCAGGCTACACATGGCCCTCTAGGTCCTCAAGTGTGTCCCTTTAACTGAATCTAAACCCTGCATTGCCACAAGTGCCACATGTGGCCTCGAGGCCGCAGGTTCCCCACCCCTGAATCCAACCCTTTCACTTTACAGATGAGGAAATGGAGGCCCAGAGAGATTCATAGGAGCACAAGTCCCTTAGAGGTCCAATCCCTTCATTTTATAGACGAGAAAACGGGGCCTAATAGGTTCATAGGAGCGTGGCTTCAGAGCTGGAAGGGACGTTAGAGGTCATATAATCCAACCCTCTAATTTTACAGATCAAAAAAAACGGATCCTGGGAATGAAAAAAGAAGAAAAGAAAGAGGGAAAGACAAGATAGAGAAGTAGGCAGAAAAGTCAGGAAGAGAGAGCAGGAATAAAGGGAAGGGGAGGAATAGTTTTACTGCCTGATTCTATGGAGCAGAACAGGTAGTGGGGGAAGACTCGGAGAGGAGAGAAGGTAGAGGTCTAGGTCTAAGGAGCCCCACCCCTCCACCCAAGGCAGGACTCCAAGAGCAGAAGCTAGGTGGGGCCTCTCCTAAAAGAAGTGAGGTCCGGCCACCCCACTCGCCTGGGTCCCTAAGGGAGAGAGAGCAGTCAGGGTGGCCGTGGGCTGACCATAAAGGGGAACCAGCAGTGGTACTGGCACGTTTTAAACCCTGTGGAGTATTTTCTTTGCACCCCTAGCTCTTAACATAGTACTTTACTCCTACTAAGTGCTTGTTGACTGACTGGCTGCAGAGCAAAATGTGCACACTTATGTCAGCATTTAAAGCTCTCCACAATGACTCCCCCTACCTCTTCAGTTTCATTCCCCATCATTCCCCTTCTCATGATCATAACTTCCAGCCAAACAGGACTCTGAACTCAGCAGTCCATCTTCTACCTCAGTGTCCTTGCCTAGGCCATCCCGCATGTACTCTCTCCCCTCATCTTCACTTATCTTTCGTCAAGGCTCACCTCCTCTGTGAGGCCTTAGAATCAATTTATAGCTGGGGAAACTGAGGCACTAAATTAATATTTATAATTATCTTCTAGCATAAGAATATTCCATTATGTTTACATATAACACTTTTTTAGCCATTTCCTAAAGATTGGGCACCCACTTTTTTCCAGTTTTTTCCACAATAAAAAGTGATAGAATAGAGGTTTTTTTGGGTATATTTATTACCTTTTTCTGTCTTTGACCTCTTTGGGATAAAAAAATGTACTGAATCAAAGGGTATACTCAGATTGGTGACTTTTTTGGGTACAGTTATAGATTGTTTTCCATGATGGTTGAACCAACTCATAGTTACACCAACAATGCATTAGTGTGCCTACTGTCCAAAGCCCCTTCAATGATTGTCATTTTCATCTTTGCCAACTTAACAGGAGTAAGGTGGAGCCTAAGACCTGTTTTGATGTGCATTTCTTAATTATTAGTGATTTAGAGCATGCTGCCATTTCTCTTCAGGACTACTCTGTGTCCTTTCTTTTCTTTTTTTTTAAGTTTTTTTTTTAAATTAATTTGTTTTTAGTTTTCAATATTGACCTCCACAAGCTCTTGAGTTTCAAATTCTCTCCTCCCCAACCCAAGATGGCGTGCAATCTGATATAGGCTCTACATATACATTCCTATTAAACGTATTTTCACATTAGTCATGTTGTAAAGAAGAATTGGAACCAATAGAAGGAACCCCAAGAAAGAAGAAACAAAACAAAATAGAAGAGAAAAAAAGAGCAAACAGTATGCTTCAATCTGCATTCTAACTCCATAGTTCTTTCTTTGGATGTGGATAGCATTTTCCATCATGAGATTTTTGGAGATGTCTTAGATCCTTGCATTGCTGAGAAGAGCTAAGTCTATCAAAGTTAGTCATTGCTCTATGTCTTTTCTTAATCTCCCTCAGTTATTACTTTCCTTCCTCCTCAAACATCCCAAGATCCCCTGGTCTGATCTCTCTCCTTTGTTTCCATCACAACCTGTCAAGATTTATATTTATCAGTGTACATGTTATATTCCTCTTGGAGAAAAAAAAATTCCTTAAGGAGAAGGACTGCTCTGTTGGTCTTTTCTTTAATAAAACAAGCATTTATTTCTTCTTCATCTGCCTTCCCCTCCCACCATTGGAAAAAGAAAAACAAAACCCTTATAATAGACGCTCGTTGTCAAACGAGACAAATTCTCACACTGGCCATGTCCAAAGATATATTTTTTAATCTTTGTCTTGAGTCTATCACCTCTCTATTGGGAGGTGGGTAGCATGCTTCATCATCAGCCCTCTGGGATTGTGACTGGGCATTGAATTTATGTCTTTTGAAGTCTTCCAAAGTTGTTTGTCTTTATAATATCACAGTTGTTGTATAAATTATTCTTCTGGTTCTACTTACCTCATTCTGCATCAATTGGTTGTCTTCATGTCCCCAGCACCGTTGAATTGAATTGAATCACATCAGGACTAGAAGAACAACACTAGCCTGCGCACAGTTAGGGAGACAAGTGGCAAGTGAAAGCAGACCCTTGGCTGCAAAATGCTCAAGGCATCTTCCTTCTTTTTTCAGATCATTCTCAACTCCATGCACAAGTACCAGCCTCGGCTGCACATCGTGAAGGCTGATGAGAACAATGCCTTTGGCTCCAAGAACACGGCTTTCTGCACGCATGTTTTCCCAGAGACTTCTTTCATTTCGGTGACTTCCTACCAGAACCACAAGGTATAGCAAGCATTCTTCCCACTTGCTTTGATCACCGCCCCTCATCCCGCCTGCCCCTGACCAGGGAGGGAGGCCAGGAGACCAAAAATCACCCATCCTGTTAATAGGGAACAGGCTGAACAATGCCATTGGCATGGAACAGAAGAAAACCAAGCTCTTAGCACGACACAGCCCAAAACAGGCAGGAAGCACAGCTGAGGACCCTGAGTTCTCACTGAAGCCCCTTGGGGTACCTGGTTCTGTGTTGGCTCCCTACATGACCTTGGACAAGGGTCCTTCCCTGGGTTTCATTTCCCCCACTCTAGATCAGCCCTACAGTCCTATCCAGCCCAAGTCTATATTCCATAAGACTCCCATGTGTGGTGGGAAGAGCTGCCCAGGCAGTGACCCACAGCCTTGGGACCTCAAACCTTAAGATGTCACTCAAAACAGCAAGCAAATCTAATAATGACTTGGCAAAGAGAGTCAGAAATCTGAAGCAAAACATGACTGCTGTCTAGGTACTTAGGAAGAGAGATGAGGGGCATGCTGATAAACACTGGGGTGGGGAGACTTCAATTTTTTCTTCACCTCCTCTCATTTCTTGGAGTATGACTGGTCCTCCCATAAATTGTTCTCTTGATTCTGTCCATTTCTCTTTGAGTGAAGTGATTCTGGTCTAACAATGACTCTAGCTCACTAGGGAGGAGGTGAACTAGGGAAAAAAGATGCCCAAGAACTGGGGCATCTGCTCCCTTGACAGATGATGGGAGAGGGAGAGCCTTGCCCCTGGGGGCTGGCAGCTCCACCCCCTTCCGATTAGTCAGCATGGGCAAGCTGAGCTCACTCTGTGCCCATCCCTCCCATAATTTTCCCATCCTCCCCATATCTCCTGCTCGTATTCTAGATGCCATGGGGATGGGTAGATGGCAACTTTTGTGTCCTGGCCCCCGTGGTTCCTCTGATAGGTCTGAAGAGCTAAACTAGTTCCTTTCAGTTTGAACCATGGGGCTTGGAATAGCTCCCACATGACAGAGGAGCTGGGGCCAGATAGGCTTGGAGCAGCAGAATACTCTATAAAAGAAAGGTTTGGATGATTTGGGGATTTGGGAGAAGCTGTAATTGGATTGTGGCAAGGAACAAGGGGATGGCACCACTTCTCTCTGGTTATTTTGAAATGGCTAATCCCTGAGTAACCTCACTAGATTGGAACCCTTGAGACTTATTCATTTGGGATTTTTCTTTGGGACCAGAGAGGCCTTCTCCATCCCAGGCCTCCTGGAGTGTTGGATTTGCTGATTGAAGCTGAGTACTTTGATCCAATGAGGACAACTAGGTTTGGCAGTGGATAGAGCACCAGGCCTAGAATCAGGAAGACCTGAGTTCATATCTGGCCTCGGACACTTACTGGCTGTGTGACCTGGGCAAATCACTTAACCCTGTTTGCCTCAATTTCCTCATCTATAAAATGAGCTGGAGAAGGAAATGGCAAAACACTCCAATAGCTTTGCCAAAAAAACCCAAATGGGGTCAGGAAGAGTCAGACATGACTAAAAAATGACTGAACAACTTTGATCTAGCATCCTTTCTCCTCACGACGTCATAATAAAGGGTACACTGATCTTGTCCAGGGTAGAATCTTTGCTTGTTCTTCTCTCCCTCCATCTTCTTCCTACCACCTTTAGATTCTCTTGTACTCACCACGGCTACCATTACTTCTTTATAAGGATGTGTAGGATGAATTTCTACTTTCATCCAAGCTCTCCTTCAACAAGGAGCCCCTGGTTCTTTTCCAGAGTTGTGCCCCATTCCTTCATCAAAATAGTAATGTAAGGCCAGGTTATTTCTGTGAGAGAGGGTGCTATATTAGCACTGGAAATAGCAGCAAATGGACAAGTCAGTCCATTGCTGAATATTTTCTGAGCACCCCCCCCCCCAAAAATGGACCAAAGGGAGAAAGATGAAGTTGGGGGATACTGAGGTCAGGGAAGGTTAGCTAGAGCATCTCAAGGCTGGGCCAAACAAGGGATGGTCTCCTACAACTCCTGCCCTAGAATTCGTATTCATCCAAGTACAGGATATTTTATGAGATGGCTATGAGATGAGACAAGAGGAGAGAACAGAAGGAAGTCCAGAGAGAAGCACTGAGAAGCAGGACAGTTTTGAAAGTTACAGGTTGATCAGGCAGGGTGCATCACTCCAGCATTCATCCCTTTGGACAAAAGGAACTAAAAATTGTCTTAAGTACAAAGTTAACCACACAGAGGGAGTGATTTGGCTAAAATCTTACAATTTCCTTGTCTCAAGTCATCTCTCTCTCTCTCTCTCTCTCTCCTTAGCAATTGACATTAATTGATATTGGGTCAGCGTCAGAGCTAAAGAATAGTAGATTTGTGAGATTCATCAAAAGAATCGACTATTTCAGAAGGAAAAATAATACTTTGATGGAATGATGTATGATTTCACTGATGAGAGAACTTGGTTAATTCTCATCTTGCACCATTCCTTTCTATAGTCTTCCACAAATCTTTGATGAGTATATAATAGAGCAGCAGTTCTCAAACTTTTTTGTCTCAAGACCCCCATTACACTCTTTAAAATGATTAAAGATTTCACAGAGATCTTGGTTATTTGGGTTAGATATATTAATAATTATTAGAAATTAAAACTTATAATTGAAAATATTAATTCATTTAAATGTTGATAATAAACTTGTTACATGTTAACAGAACGTAACATGAAAAATAACTATATTTTCCAAATAAGAAAATTTAGTGAGAAAAAAAATTAATAGATTAGATTTATTAAACATTTAACAAAAAAAGTAAACTGTTTATAATAGAGACCCACAGTTTCATGTGTCAAAGTTCAGATAAGAGATAAGTTTTTAAAAAGGACAGGAGGCAGGTGCCTTGACTCTGAATCGCTAAGGGTATATTCTAGGCAGGAACCATGTCAGTGACTCTTCTGTTTCCTTCTTGGACAGATCACTCAACTGAAAATCGAGAATAACCCATTTGCCAAAGGATTCCGGGGCAGTGATGACAGTGACCTTCGTGTGGCTCGCTTACAGAGGTGGGAGAGGAAGGAGGCCCTATCTTCAGTGGTCCATAGCCAATACTCAAGTATCCACATGTTCCTTATGGGGGGATTGGGGTGGAGGATAACTTTTCAGGGAAGGGCCCAGGAGTCCAGAGTTTCAAGTTGGCAACTTATGAGTTGCATGATCCAAGGCACATTACTTTATCTCTATGAGCCTCAGTTTCCTTGACTGTAAAATAATACTTGCCCTGTCTCAGAGTTATGAGGATGAAATGAAACCATGTAAACATGCTCTGGGAACAAGGACACCCTCTATAAGTGGGAGTGAGTTTTTATCTTTTTCTCCCTTCCCTCCACAGCAAAGAATATCCGGTGATTTCCAAAAGCATCATGAGGCAGAGACTTGTCTCCACTCAGCTCTCTGCGAAGCCCGATGTAAGCCCCCTGCACGGAGCCCATCAGGCACTCCAGCATTATCAATACGAGAATGGGGCACACATGCAATTTGCTGCCACGGATGGGCAAGACCTAGCCCTTAACACCTTCCCAGGGCAGAGAGACTCAGGGCTGTTCTATCACTGCCTGAAGAGACGAGGTAAGGGACCGTCTCGCAGAACCAAAGATTGGGGAGGGCTGGAGGAAAAGAAAGAAGGAAAGAAGGGAGGGGGGGAGGGAGGAAGGAAGGAAGGAAAGAAGGAAGGGAGGGAGGAAGGAAGGAGGGAAGGGAGGTAGGGAGGAAGGAAGGAAAGAAGGAAGGAAGGAAGGAAAGAAGAAAGGAAGAAAGGAAAGAAGGAAGGAAGGGAGGATGGAAGGAAGGAAGGGAGGAAGGAAGGAAAAGAGGGAGGGAAGAAGAAATGAAAGGAAGGAAGAAAGGAGGGAAAAAGGGAGGGAAGGAAAGAGGGAGAGAGGGAAGGAAGGGCATAGAGATAGAGGATGTAAGCTCCTTGTGGGTAGCAATTATTTCATTCTTTATATCCTCAGTGATTGGCATATCCTTTATCTCTATCTTTATTTTATATCCCCAGTGACTATCACATAGTAGGTGCTTAATATGTGCTTATTGACCAATTGATTAGTCAGGGATCTTTAACCTTCTTTGTATCATGGATCCCTCTGGTCAACTGTTGAAGCCTATGGACCCCTCCTCAGAATCATGTTTTTAAATGCATGAAAGAAAAATGACAAAGGAAACCAATTATATTGAAATAACATTATCAAAAGTTATCAAAGTATTTTTTTCAACAAACAAGTTCACAGACCCCAAGTTAAGAATGCTTATATTAGCTGGAGCATTCTCTGCACAGGTCTATTCCAGTTACTAATTCATCATCACTTGAGAATGGGGTAGGAAGGGGGTAGAGACAGGAACCTATCTGAAGGAACCCCTGGCCCCATTTTGGTCTCCTTATGCTCAGCTGCTGTTTCTCTCTTTTCATTTTGCCTCTCGAGCCTCACCAGATGTCACTGCCTCCTTGGTTTCTCTGGCTGCTTGTCTTTGGGACTCAAGTCAATTTTGCCCTATGCTGGAGGCTCTTGGCAAAGGTTTGATATGGGAGCAGACCAAAACATTTGATTAGAACGAGCTCCTTGGAAAATCTCAGTCAGAGGCTGAAAAATAATAATCATAATTACTAATATTTATAGAGCTGGGCAAGTCACTTAACCCTTTTTGCCTCAGTTTCCTCATCTGTAAAATGAGTTGGAGAAGGAAATGGCAAACCACTCCAGTACGTTTGCCAGAAAACCCCAAATGGGGTCACGAAGGGACTGACAACAACGAAATAGAGCACTTTAAGGTTTGCAAAGCACTTTACATCTGTGATCTCATGTGATCTTTATTTTATGGCTCTGTGAAGTAGGTTCTATTATTATCCCTATTAAACCTGAGAGAGGTTAAGCCACTTGCCTGGGGTCACACAGCTGTTAAGTGTTTAAGGTGGGATTTGAACTCAAATCTTTCCAACTCCTGGCCCAGTGATCTATCTACCATGTCCCTGCATGGTACAATGAAAGAGCACCAGCTCTTGTGTCCAAGAGCCTGGATTCAAATTCAGACTCTGACACTTATGTGGGGGGGGGGGGGGGGGGGGGGGGGGGGTGTGGATAATAAATCTGAAGAAACCAAGGAGAGAAGAGTGAGAGATACAGGCAAGAAACACCTGGAAAATGACCACAGCGGCTGAGAACTGTAGATGTAGAGGGAGTGTGGTACTCTTGGGAGTCAGAGGATCCAGCTTAAATCTCATGATGCCATCTCTAGCTATCCCTGCCTGTGTGAACTGGGCCTCAGTTTCCTCATCTGTAAAATGAGGGGGTTAGACTATAAAACAAGCAGCCATAACTGTGTAGGAGATGGAATGCTGGACTCAGAATCAGGTGGATCTGAGTTCAAATCCTGACTGGGGTACTTAGTAACACTAATCAAGTTTTTTGTTTGTTTGGCAATTGGGGTTAAGTGACTTGCCCGGGGTCACACAGCTAGTAAGTGTCAAGAGTTTGGTCTGAGGCTGGCTTTGAACTCAGGTCCTCCTGACATCAGGGCTGGTGCTCTACCCACTGTTTGTTCTTAAGGCAATCAGGGTTAAGTGATTTGCCTAGAGTCACACAGCTAGTATGTGTCTGAGGCTAGATTTGAATTCGGGTCCTCTCAATGCCAGGGCCAGGGCCCTATCCATTGCACTACCTAGCTGTCCCATCCTGAGCATGCCTTAACCTCTCTGAGACTCCTATAAAATGAAGGGGTTGCACTTGATGACTTCTACGGTTCCTTCCAGTTAAATCTATCCACCCATGCCCTGATAGCTTCCTGAGGTCCCTTCCAGCTCTAGACTTCTGCCTATCACTCTAGGTGGGTGGCAAGGAAAGCAAGGGCCTTTTAAAGTAGTTTTTCCCTCCTCCCCCTTCCATTCCTATAGCCCACTGGGGCGGGTGTGGTTCTAGCATCTTGGACGTGAGGTTCCCAGGGGATCGTAGCTGGTCTGGAGGGAATAGTTCTTGCCTAAAGGGATGTTTGTCTTCCTGCAGACAGCACCAGGCACCTGGACTTACCCTGCAAACGCTCCTATCTGGAAGCCTCATCCTCTGTGGGAGAAGATCACTATTTCCGCTCCCCACCCCCTTACGACCAGCAAATGCTGAGTCCCTCGTACTGCAGTGACGTGACTCCTCGGGAAGCCTGCATGTACTCAAGTTCTGGGGCTGAGATCGCCGGAGTGTCAGCGGTGGATGACCTGCCGCCACCCCCGCTGAGCTGCAACATGTGGACGTCGGTGGCGCCGTACACCGGCTACGGCGTTCAGACAATGGAGACTGTGCCCTACCAGCCCTTCCCCGCTCACTTTACTGCCACCCCTATGATGCCCCGGCTCCCCTCCGTGTCTACGCAGAGCTCCCAGCCTCCAGGGAATACCCACTTCAGCATCTATAATCAGCTGTCGCAGGCCCAGGCCCGAGAGCGAGGGCCGTCCACCTCATTTCCGAGAGAACGTGGGCTGCCCCCGGTGTGTGAGAGGAAACCCCCATCCCCACACCTGAACGCTGCCAACGAATTCCTCTACTCCCAAAGCTTCTCCTTGTCCCGGGAGTCTTCCTTACAGTATCATTCAGGAATGGGGACTGTCGAGAACTGGACTGACGGATGAGTCGGAGGTCTCGTTACAAGACAGACAGTGTTACCGATCCCGGACCGTGTTAATCCAGTGTTAATCCCCGGGGGGAATAGCCTACACAGTCGTGTATTTCTAAGGGGGGGAAAGGTGCGTTTGGAGAGCACCTGCTTTCTGACCTACAACTAAGGCCATGTCACGAAGAAAGAACAATGACCCAAAAGTACCTTTAGTCCATCCACATCTGGCAGACCTCTGGCGGTGCCCAAAGGGTGGGAGTTGGGGAGGGAGGGTTAGTTGGGCTAGGGTGTCTTTGGGAGGTTTCTACAGCATGATTCTGGGGCAGAGTAGTGAGACCTCATCCTGAGAGAAATGTGTATGACATTTTAGGGGTGGATCACCACAGTTTGGGGAGATTGTAGGCACAGCCTGGAATCTGACTCCAGTCTAATTTGGGGAAAGGGCCATCCACAACTTTGGCTTTTGGCTCCTTATGAACCCCTTGGAGATCCAGGAAAGGAAAACCCACAGGGGTGTCAAACAGGGTCAGGGAGATGACAAGTACCTTAACATATTTTTTTTCTAGTTTTTTCAATTTAGAGGTAAGCCAGTAGGGAAAATGTGATCAAGAGCATCTCCTATTGCTGCTCAGTTTTTGGCATTGCATCCCCTGCCCTCGCTGCCATGAACATGGGAGAACCTCATCTCTCAGACTCCATCTTCATCCCAGAATTAGCACTCAAGAAATACAAGCTTCACCTGGATGTGCCAGCAGGTAGCTATGGTGGAGCCAAAGTCAGGCTCGTTTGGAGAGAGTTCTGTCTCCTGGAGAATCCCTGCCTTCGAGGGAAGAAGCCCAACAGAAATAAAAATGGGAGCTGAGAAAACATTCACTTCTTCCAGAGAATCCAGCCCATGAGCTCAGCCAGAGGCATGAAAAGGATTCTTGAACCAAGCTAAGCCCAGGCCAGTGATATCAACCAATTCACCAGCATGGGACATCACCAGACTATATGTGTGGCTGGTGTGGACTCTGTAATCCAATCTGGGAAATCACTACACTCTTTGCATGCTGAATAACTATTTATATATTATATAAATATATATCACCAAGGCAGGCCACATGTCCATTGAAGCTTTGCTTTTACAATCAAAATAATTAAAAAAATGAATGTTGCGAGGGTTTTTGGAAAGACATCTATTTAAGATTTTTTAATTACACATTTTGATGTAAAAACTAAGAACTGGTTAGATAAAACCTATATATACTACAGATAAATCTTTATTAGAAGCCACGTTAGATACAGGTGGTGGGGAACATTAAGTGTTTTATTACATAGCATGGACATTTTATTTTACGTATCAGAACATAAAGCCATTTTTTTTTCAACTACAAACTGTCTGGGTGCATTTCAATAATGACTTTCCCTCTCTTGGCTCACATATGGTTTCTGCTGCCCTTTGACCCCACCCCTTTCCCATGCAACAGTTGCTCAGGAGCACACTTGAACTTCTATCTATTTACCTAGCCTGTCGACACCTCTGATGATACATCAAATGTCATTTCCAAGCAAACAAAAACTCACCCTGAGATCCATCCCGTTGGGCTCCAGATGGGGAGGTCCCTGGTGGACTTGGTGCTGAAACAGGCCGGGGCCTTCGGATGGGACAGAAGTTAGGCTCCTGGAGGGGGCTTCTTCAGCCCGAAGCTCCCCTTCTCTCCTAATGCTGTCTTCACAGAGCCTAAGCAGGGGGCTGACGAGTAAAGGAGAGTCTCTTACAGGGAACCCTCATACTTGAGGGGCCGCCTTTCACCGGTCAGGGTGACCCAAAGTTAACAACACCAGGAGACCTGGGGGACTGCAACAGATGAGGGTGGGGAGGAAGGGAGTAGGACTGGCGGCTGTGGCCTCCTCAGCCATGAGCATGAAGTTCCTTCTGTAAGAAGCTATTGAAATAAATGAGATCTGGCATTTATACAAGGAAGCCTCTGAGGTCAGAACAAGGGATTAGGAAGAAAGGAAGAGATTCAGAGCCAATAAGAAGGAACTTAGAATTCCCTTTCCACTCTGTCCCTGAGACCTGTATCCTCTTCCCAACAGTTGTGGGCTCCTGTGGGGCAGATATCACCAAAAGTCCTAAGGCCTACCAAGCCTTGCTGTTAGCCTTACAGCTGGTCCCTTAGGTATCTTTCCATCTACTCTACAACTGAAATCTCTCTCCTTTTGCTATTTCATTCTCCCAGTGCTTAACAAAGTACTTGGTGCATAGTAAGGGCTTAATAAATATATTTCATTCATCCATCCATCCATCCATCCACCCATCCATCCATCCATCCATCCACCCATCCATCCATCCATCCATTCAGCAGGCTACCCTCAGGCTGTGGGTCTGACTTCCAGGGCCTTCCCACTGACATTCCCAAGGAGACAATAGGAGGTGAGCAGTGTCCTTACCTGACTGGCCATCCTTCAGCAGGCAATAGGCAGCTTGGGAACAGGGAGCAGGTCTGGTGCTCTCTGGGAATTCTTGGTGAAGTTAGTGCAACTGCTTGATGGGCAGACAGCACAGGAGAGAGGGTTCAGGGCCAGAGGCTGCAGCTGCCTTAAGCAGGGAGAGGTGGGTGATCTCATCCTAAAGAGAATAAGTGATAGCCTGGCAAAGGCCCTGCCCATTCACCCGCTAGCCCCTGCCAGATCCCTGGAGATAGGACACAAAGTGAAGAGAGGAAAAGGGAGACGGGAACTCAGAGTCTAGGCCACCGGCTCCACCATTCTGGGCACTGCCCAGTGATGAGGGGAGTGGCCCTGGGATGGGAAAGGACATTTTTCTCTGTCTTCATCTCACTGTTTTCCCTCTTTCTTCACAATGGGACTATTCTTCAGTGTATTGGCCCTGCAAGGAGCCAAGGGCGAGTGGCCTCTCCCAGGAGCCCAGCAACTTGGCAAAAACGGGCATTTGGAGCATTCTGTGTCCATTTCTTCCACCCATCTTCCCCCATAATTTTGGGGGATAGTTCTGATTTCAAGAAAAGCAAGTGAAGTTTAACACAAGTTGGTCGGATCCTTTGACTCAATTTTTGATGTGAAAAAATAGAACCCTTGCACCGAATACGCTCTGCTTATCTACCCAACCGGGCCGAGACCTTTCCCTGGTCAGGATGCTCAGGATTCCACAGAAATCTAAGGGAGTGGGGCAGAAATGGGGTGAAGCAGGGAAAGAGGGAAGGACTCTGCATAACCCAGGACAACCCTGGGGAGAAGAAGGTACTCTTATCTCTCCGAGTGGTTGTAGAGGGAGCACGACAGTGAGGAAAAAAGCCTCCGAACCTGCAGTGAGAAAGGCCGAATTCAAATCCAGACTAAGCCAGCTAGTACATCTGTGATTTGGGGGGCAAATCACTTAATCATTTTCCTCAGCTTCAGTTTCCTCACTTGTAAAATGAACTTGATGACCTCGGAGGTCCCTTCCAGCTCCAGATCTACGATCCTGTATCTCTTCTTTGGGACATGGGGGAATAGGGAGAGATGGGGGCAGGTTTTATTTCGAAGCGTTCCCAGAATTTCCAGATGGAATGGGAAACTAAAAACTCTCAGAAGACCAGAGAAGGAAGCTCACTGGACCTATGTGAGGGCAAATCAACTGTCTCCCCAAGGTCCTGGGGCCTTATCTTCCAGTGTTAGCCCAGACTAGTTCAGGTTCCTGGTTTCCCACATGACTAGGCTTCTCAGAGAGCTGAACAGTTGTCCAGTGCGATTTACCAAGCTTCCCTCTCTTCTGAAGCCAAAGTTTCAATAAAAAAGGGGGCTCATGGGGAATCCTGGAACAAAGGGCACTATTCAAAGCAGCAAATAAGCCCATCCATCACTGGGCCAGAAACCTGCCACATGCAACTGTCTGTTTCTTATGTGCCCAGCTTGAAGAGGGTTAGGGGGAAAGGAACCCAGATTAAAATCTAATCCCATAGGTCCACGGACAGGCAAGCAGCAGGGGACCCAAAGTGCTGTTTCTCTTTCCTGCCTGTGGGGGCAGCTTGGCCAGGGCCGAGCCCGGGTCTCCAGGGACTGGTCAGTGAGTTACCCTGAACATCAGAAGGGGCCCCCAGGGGGGAAAAAAAGGGAGAAGAGAAGCCAGGTCAGACTGACAAATTGTTAAAAGAAAAAAAAAACAATTTACCCCCAGCCTCTGCTGGGCCTCAGGGTGGGTCAAGAGGCCCTGTTAGTCTCTTCTAATGGAGCCCACTGGAGGAGCAGCAGGCTCAGCCTTGTGGTGTCTTATCTTACAACATAAAATTAAAACCCACTTAAAAGGCCGGAGGGCATGTTAACATTCTCCCAGTCATCTAATTGAAGCAGTTTCTAGCTTGAAGGATTTCACTTGAAAGCTGGCAAAAGCCAAACCCCTGCTCCCAATTTGGAGGGTGGGGGTGGGGGCTGGTGGTATAGGACTCAGTTTCTATTTATTGTCTTGGCTCAGGGAACCCACAGGAGCTCCATCACAGGCTAGGGAGGTTTGGGGGTATGTGTGTGTTTTTAACATTTACAAATTCATTAGCAGCTATGTCAGCAGAGGCCAGCACCCCAACCAGGGGCCCCTAGTAATCAGTCAAACATGGGGAGCCTCCCCCTGAGTCAAACCTGGCAAGCCGTCAGGCATGATTATTTTATTTTCCACCCCCATCCCTAAAAAAAAAAAAAAATGAAAATATATTACAGGTCTCCAAAGGCATAAGGAATCAATCAGAAGACATCCTGCAAAGGTGATGAACTCACACTAGCAATCACAGCTAATGTGAACCAGTCAGCGGGGAACAGCTACAGGAGACTGGAAGCCAAGGTGACAGCTATTAAGGACAAAATGGGAATGGGGCTGGCCAATCAATTCCATTTCCACAGGGGACCAAAGGGAGTGCAGCGGCTGTCTCAGCTGATTAGGCAGCTCTCCTAAAGGCCTCTGGGAGAGAGACTTGTCACAGATCAGAAACAGGCAGTGGTGCCCTCCTCATGGGGCCCAGGGTGAACGGAGAGCTGCCTCTGGTTTATGTGGCTAAGGTCTCTTCTTCAGAGATACAGAGAGACAGAGAGAGAGAGACAGAGACAGAGAGAGAGAGACAGAGAGAGAGAGACAGAGACAGAGAGAGAGAGGCAGAGAGAGAGAGACAGAGAGAGAGAGAGAGAGAGACAGAGAGAGAGAGACAGAGAGAGAGAGAGAGAGAAATCAGTACCAGTTTGGAGATTAGATAGTTTTCCTTTTCAGCCATTTATCATTATGAAGGAAAGTAGACAGGGTAGGGGCAAAAAAATCTCCAGTGGGATTTCTGGGAAGTCTCACACTGAAGGGCCAGGTTTCCATCTTACAGCCCAAACTGAGCACCAGCTCATTACCACTGGCCTGCTTTGCTCTGCATATCTCCCTGGTCTAGGCTCTTTCCCTAATGTCAAGCAAGGTCAGGCAGCCCCCAGTGCCCTGAATTTTTTTTAAAGGGAGGCAAAACATTTCTTAAATTAAACTCAAGCAATTAAACTATACCATTTGTGAGCATTTAAAGCAAAGGCAGGAGCTGAGAGGAAAGGAGAAATGAGGCAAGATTAGGCAAAGTAGGTGAACACTAGGCCAGGAGCAGAGCAATCAATTGTTTAATCAACAAGCATTTATTCAGCTCTTTGTGCTAAGCCAGTCAATCAGTCAACTCATTTATTAAGCTCTTGCTATGTATCAGGCAGGAGGCATTTGGTAGCTCAACAGATAGAGTGCTGGGCCTCCCAGAATCAGGAAGACCTCAGTTCAAATCTAGCTCAGACACTTACTAGCTGTGTGACCCTGGGCAAGTCACTTAACTTCTGTGTGCCTTAATCCACTGGAAGAGAAAATGGCAAACTTTGCTAGCATCTTTGCCAAGAAAACTCCACGGCCAGTATTGGTGAGCTATGGTCCACAGGGGCATGAAGAGTCAGATACGATTGAATAATAACATATGAGGCACCGTTATATGCTGGGGATAAAAAGGCAAAAGTGAGACTGTCTCTGCCCTCAAGCAGCTCATAGTCTAATGGCGTGGGTAAAGACCATGAAGGGCCATAGTTGTCTGTGTAGTCATAATCATGGCTCACACCCTTCTATTCTAAAATGCTTTCTTCACAGCAATCCTTTCTGGTATTGTTATTTCCCTGAGGCCCACGACTTCAGAGTCACCCAGGCACCAAGTTTCAGAGCTGGGGCTCACCCCAAGTCTTCTTCCTCCAAGACTCACCGTGCCATGATGCATGTTTTCATTGATTACAGTCAGAATCACAGGCACCCACCAGCAATTCTGATAATCTTGAAAACACGATTTTTAAATGGAGAGAATAATAACAATAAAAAGAAGCTGAAAGCCATGTAATTATAATGACCAAAT